CTGGACAGGTGAGCCCCCGGGGCGGGCCGCGGGCCCGGGCGGGCGGGGACTTTGGAGGCCGGAGCCGAGCGCCGGGCTAAGCGACGGCGCTGGCTGCCTCCCTCCCGCCACCTCAGCTCCGCTTGTCTTTCCTCCAGTCTTGCACGAGGCCATCAGCACCGGGGATCCGGAAATAGTCCACATGGTCCTTCAGCACCGCGACTACCAGCAGACGTCCGCCACCCTCGGCGGTGTCCCCGAATTACTTCAGAAGATCAGTGAGGTAAATGGAGGAGCCGCAAGCAGGACACGCCCTGTGGGCCTGCGTGCCCCGGCCTTAGGGGTGCTGGACTCCGCTTCCCATCTTCAGCAAACGTGCGTGATGGGATGTGCGACCCACCGCCTTCTCTAGAACTCAGGTGGGGAAGGACTGCAAGACGGCTCTTGTCCTTCCCTCTTGTTTACTGCCCGAGCGTCAGCAGAGTCGAGCAAGAATCGGGCGTATCCAGAAAACCGGCTCCAGGTCTGCGTGGCTTTGCTGTGGGTGGCTTAAGTCTCTCCTGAAAAGCCGTTAGGCTTTTACTTAGCGGAGAGTTAGCCCTCTTGGGCTACTTCTGAGTAACACGTTCAGGATCACACCACCAGCTGAGCGGCGTTTCCGTTTCCGAAATTCCATGAACGTGGAGCGTGGATTTCTTGTGCTTTAATGCCACAGGCTCACTTCCTTTTTATTCTTCTTCCGTTTTTCCCCAATAGACTCCAGATTTTTATGTGGAAATGAAGTGGGAATTCACCAGCTGGGGTAAGTCTGAATCAAGTTGCCACTTCTTAGAGGCTTATCTGTCCTCTTGTACCGAGCTCACACGATCCAACTCAGCCTGGGAAACTGGTATTCATTTCTGGATTAAACTGGGTTTCGCTGTGTTCCTGTGACCCACTGCCATCTTTTCTGCCACTCTCGAATATTGCCTGCCTTTTAATCTCCTTGTCTTCAAACCACAAATGTTGAATCTTTCAAGATGCAAAATGTGTTTCTCTTTGTGTGTGTGATGCGTGCTTCCCCTTTCTTCTCGCTGCGTAAGACTACAAGGAGGTGGTGGTGATGAAGATAATAAAATGTAAGCTGTGGGGCTTGATGCTCTCCGGTCCAATTTATTCTGCTCTAGTCAGCGATTGTTAGAGTTTGGGCTCTTTCAGTGATGTAGATGGGCTTTTTGCACAACACAGCCTTAAGGTAGGCAGATTTTCTGCCAGAAAATGTGGCTCAGAGTTTCAGGCTTTAAAAAGAGGCAAATTCACACAAAAGGAGGGATTTTTCACACAAGGAAAAGAAAACCTCTGTGTTCTTAGATAGAGACTTGACTTGCACATCACAGTAAGCCTTTGCTTTGCGTTAGGTTAATGTGTTGTATGAGCCTATACGTCATGACTTGTAAATCACAATTTGTGGTTTGCTTGATGTGTGAACTTGAATGAGTTTATTCAACTAATGGGCAAGCGAAAAATGATGTGGGAACCTAGCTGGCCTTTCGTTTGTGGCATCTTGGAAGCCTCTGGCTGGGCCTGGCAAGGGGGTCTAACGAAGGGAATACTAGGCAGGGATTCTCAAGCGTATTGTCCATCCACCCTTCCAAAAACAAAGTGGACTTTAGCTCTTCTGCTCTCTCCATGCTTCCCAACAGTCCCACTGGTGTCCAGAGTTTGCCCCAGTGACGTTTGCCGCATCTGGAAGAGCGGTGCAAAGCTGCGAGTGGATATCACATTGCTGGGCTTTGAAAACATGAGCTGGGAACGGGGGAAACGCAGCCTGATTTTCAGAGGGGAAGGTGAGAAGCGCCAGAGTTCCAGGTGGGGGGAGGAGGAAGGGCTACAAGGGGTCACTGTTTGAGACAGTGGGATGGGCTGGAAGAGTGCGTGCCCCCCATCAACTGGAGAGACCCAGGAGATGAATCAGTGCTAACGTCCTGTGGGATCCACTTCCCCCCCAAAAGTTCTGATAAAGATCAAGTCGTGCGTGTGGGGCTGTCAGAGCCAAATGGGCATATAGCTTGCTGAGCTTTGCCTTCGCAGAACTCCAGCCCCTTCTTTCCGACTCTCTGCCAGCATCGCTAATCCTTGCCATGCCAGCATGTGCAAAAGGCAGTCTCCCTCCTGCGTTGGTTTCACTGCCCGAAACAGATGACCTGGAGAATTAACAAAAATCTTGGTACAGTCTGTACACAAATGTTGCTCTTGAGCAACAACAAGGGTGCTTTATATATGTATCTAGCAGCATGGGGTGTAAATCTAGCAGCCAAGGTTTAAACCTTTGCTAGCGCAGAGTTTTGAAAGCATGCCGTAAAACATCCCGAGGATTCTGACTTGGTCTGCCTTGCCTGGTTCAGCTAGACGCAGCCGGCTCGGTGCTCAGCTCCCCGCTTCCTTTTCCAAGCGCTCTTCCGACTCACCTCAGCACTTCCCGCTTGGCTTTCCAGATACTGGGCACTGGGCTGAGCTGATTGAGGTCAACCACGATGAGAAAGTGGTGGCAGCCGAGCGTTTCGAGATCACCCAGCAAATCAAGCGGCTGACCCTGGACTCCATGGTCCCAAAGAACAAGGAGGTGGAGCGACGGCTGACCTCTCCCATTATCAACACCTCCCTGGATACCAGGAATATTGCATTTGAAAGGTAGGATGGGCATCTCTGGCCTGAGGAATCCTGTTCCCCTTCTCCTGTTGTTTTCCTGCGACAAGACTCTGGATAGGAGGGAATTGACCACCCCCCGGGGCCCCAAGAGGTGCACCCCCTATCAGTTCTTACTCCAAGGGGTAAGGAACCTTGAGGACCATTGAGTCATTCCTGGGCTTAGGAATGGCAGAAGCCCAGAGGCTCTGGAAATGGATATTTGCCTTGCAGAAATACCTCTGGCTTCTGGGTCTGGAAAACTGAGAGGAATGAAGTGGTGAATGACTATGAAGCAAAGGTAAGACGCTGCCTAGACTCTGGCCTGGAGGTCTCCTTTTCCCTGCCAGCTGCACGCCTCTGGCAGGACAAACAGTCACGGAGCCCTGCCTCCAAGCCTTTCTATAGCGCTGAGAACATCTGCAAGCAGTGTGACGATCTCTGTTCTGGTTGGAGCAAGGGGTGCGTTTGACTGTTTTTAAACCACAAAGGGTCTTGGAAGAGCACATTAGGTTTTCTAAACTCAAGAAAGCACTGGGATTTACCGAGAGTGGTTTACCTAGAAGGTAGCAAGTCTACGAGACTTTCTGCCGTTAGTTTCAGTGGCCGAAGAAGGTCCATCTGGCCATCAGAAATGCTGCCGCATTTGAGAATTGGGGGCTGGGGACGAAAAACAGGTGTGGGTTCTACCACAGTTGCTTAGCCTGTGGCTTCAAGGGGGGCCTGTCCAGTGGCATTCAGAAAATGGAGTCAGGAGCTAAGGCGCTTCAAGCCTATTGCAGCAGGGGGAAGACCTCACAGAGGTGTCTTCTTTGTGTGGCTGAGGGAAAACTTGCAGCATGCAAGGCAGGCAGGGGATCTCCTGAAGGTTCCCTACCCGTTGCCTCCTATAGGTGTGGGACTGTGGCTCCCATCACCTCATAGCCAACTCTTGTTGACAAGGATGACAGGGAAGCTGTAGTCCACCGGGTGGTGTGGCATGTGGCACGCAGTGGAGGTCCGGAGCTTGCCAAGACAGGTGTCCTTAAGAGTTGAGCCTTAGGAGGGCCAGAGAAGGGGCAGCTTCTTGGGAGGCTTTGGGGACTCCGGGCTGTCTGGGTTGGGTACTTTGGCCAGATCTGGAGCTTCTCCCTCCTTTCTCGAGGTCTTCACAGCCAACAACGTGAATGTGGTGACCAAGATCCGGACGGAGCACTTGACCGAAGAGGAGAAGAGGCGATACAAGGGTAAGGCCTTGCTGATAGTCCGAGGTCATTTGGAACTGCTGGCCTGGCCAAACCTCTTCCAGCAGCGGAGTCGGCAGCCAGAGTTGGAACCAGATTCCTTGGCTGAGGCCCAGTGAAACTGAAATCCTAAAACAGTCTCACCACACGCTACTCTCACACATAGTCCTCGGAGACTGGCATTTCTGCTGCCTTCGGCTTCTGTCCTGGCTTCCTCCTCTTCCTTCTAGATCCTTGAAGAGCCAGCACACCCAACCCTTCCGTGAGGTAAAAGGGTTGTGTGAAAGCACACTCTGCCCATGTGTCCAGCTCTAGCAGCAGCCTCTGGAGACGCTGGTTTTCAGGGCCCCACCATGAACTGGTGTTTCGTATCGTGTGGCTCTTTAACACCGCTGGGGGAGGCAAGTCCTCAAAAAGGTGGAATTGACACCTGCCTCCTCCAGCTGCAAATTCTCCTCTCCCCTTTGCGCTTGTGAGCTGAGCTTCTTGGTAGAAAGCCTGGAGGGCGGAGGCAGCTGGGAGCTGACCGGCCGCTTCCTCCTTTCTCCTAGCTGACCGAAGCCCCCTGGAATCCTTCCTGGGCACCATTGAGCACGAGTACGGGGCCCAGCAGGTGAGTCTTCCAATGCCCTCCAAGCCCTGACCTTGCCATTCTCCGCTTGCCTCTCCTGGCCTTAGGTAGAGGTGGGGTGGTGGTGGTCCTTCTGGGGGAGGGAGCAGCCCCTGAGGGCAGTCATGTTGGCCTTTCCCCCAGGACCTCACAACAGAATTTGCCTCGACAAACAACCCAACAGCTCTCACACCAGAGGAATACTTTGACCCTCAGTTTGACCTGAAGGACAGAGATATCGGCAGGCCCAAAGAAGTGACCATTCGGACTCAGAAGTAAAGCCGTCGGTTCTCCTGGTTCCCTTTGGGGTTTGTCCCCCAGCCTGCATATTCCCCCCTTCCCTGCTTTGTTCCCTCAGGAAGAGCCCAGCACCCACTCAGCTAGAGGGAGCAAACATCGTGGGGTGGGTGTGGTGGCCGCCATTTCTTTTTCCACATTGCAGAGGAGCAGCTCTCCCTTCATAAATCCCCCACCGCATCTCTGGCTCAGAGTGGGAGCCCCTTAGGCGGCCAGGAAAAGGCCCCCAAGTAGGATCGTGCTCCGCGCTCCCCCCCACCCACGTAGCCATCCCTGCCTTTCTCGCACAGATTTAAAGCAAACTTGTGGATGTCCGAAGAGTTCCCGCTCTCCCTTGTGGAGCAGGTCTCCCCCATCGTGGACCTGATGGCCAGGACGAGCGCCCACTTTGCTCGACTGAAGGACTTCATCACTTTGGACTTCCCTCCTGGATTTCCTGTTAAAATCGGTGTGGCATTTTTGTCCTGTGCTTCCAAACTGGAGCACCTTCCAAACCAAATGTAGTGGTAGAGATTGTCCGGGGCCTTGTTTCTCAATTCTTCCTCTCTCCCACCTGCAGAAATCCCCTTGTTCCACATACTGAACGCCAGGATTACCTTTGGAAGCGTGAACAGCTGCAGCACCCTGGAAGACGCTTCACCTCTGGGCCCCGAAGGCCCCCGGGGGACATCTGGTGAGGAAGCTGCTCTTGGGGGTTGGACTGGTGGGACCAGAGGAGTGGTCAGAAGCCTTCAGGCAAAGGCGGGTGATGAGAGTTGAGTCCAGCCCCCAAAGCTGCTGGTGGCTGTCCTGATCACAGCTCTCCCTCTCCAGCTGCTCCAGCCTCCACCTTTGTGGTTGACCCCTCTGTCTTCGAGATCCCCATGTCCTACCGTATTCAAGATGATGGCCGGAACTTGCACGTGCAAGACGAGGACAATGAAATCATGCAGTTTGCCATCCAGCAGAGCTTGATGGAGTCCGGCCAAAACCAGGTGAGTTTCCCTCACTGTCCTCCGCACGTCTTTTTCCGTGAGCTGTCAAGAGCTTTGCCCGCAGGCTCCTCTTTTGCCTCTCCGTTGGTTTTAAGCCCGAGTTGTGCTTTATTTTCTAACCGAAGACAACATTTTAGTTCCGCTGTTTTGTCACGGATGTGCGTTTAGGGATTGTACTTAGCTTTTCATGTGCTCCTCTGAACGTGACCCACCGAGGAGTGGGGTCCTCTGAAAGATAAAGGCATCTTTCAGCATTTAGGCCTGCGGGCAGGAGTGGGACCGGTTCCCCCGCAGGAAGTGGATTTGTAACCGCTCTGGTGTCTTCCCAGGAGCCTTTGGGGCCACACTTGAACGGGGATGTGTCCTACTCACAGGACCTCAACCTACAGTATCAAAGGTGAGGCCAAGAACCAGAGGATGCCGGGCAACCGGGAGCGCTTGGGTTCTCACGGTTGGTGCTGAACGCCCCGCGGTCCTCCTCCCTGTTCCCCCACGGGCACACCCCAGCTGGCAGGCAGGAGGGCAGCGACCTCAGAATGGCCTCCACAGGGGCGAGACCCGTCTCCTGGCCAGACCTGCGCCCCTCGTGGCTCGGACTCGGTTTGCCCTCTTCCCCCTCCCTTGGAAACTGCCCTCTTCGGGAAGGGGCTGGTCTGTCCCCCATTACTTGATCCTACAAACATCGGCGTTTGGAGAAATGTGGGGGGGAGCCTCCCCCAAAGCCAGGCCCAGAATTGGAGCTCGCTGGGCCACCGAGCACAATCTGGGTGCAGCTCTGTAGCAGAACTGGGCTGTGGGGATCTTACCCCGCCCGCCAGGCCCCGTTGGAAAGCACTCTTCTCTCCCGCTCAGGGCCCTACAGGAGAGCCTCCTGGCCAACAGCAGGAGCAACCCGCCCCTGCACGGGTCTTCCACGTTTGACCAGGACTTGCAGCTGGCCATGGCGCTCTCCGTCCGGGAGCAGCAAGAACTGGAGCAGCGGAGGCAGCAGGAGGAGGAGGCGGAGCTGCAGGAGGCTCTTCAGCGCTCCCTGCTGGAGAAGTAGCCGGATGCTGCCCGTGGGAAGCGAGTGCCAGAAGCCCCGGGCCCCTTCCGCCTGGGACCTGCACGGGGAGGCCATCTTGAGCAGAGATGGGCTCTTCCGTTCGTTCGCCAAAGCTTTGAGCCCAAAGATCTGCCCGTCTTCCTCTGTGCTCAGCGGTTGCACTGAAAGGGGGCACCCCGAGGTACCTATGCCAAAGGCTGCTCTGAAGGGGCCAGGGGACTCTCACCAGCCTCGAAGGGGGGGGCGGCAGCAGGGAACCTGAGCCACGGGGAGGGTTTCCACGGAGCATGCTCCTTGCCTACCAAAGATTTCAGGGGCTGTCAGGTGTCTTTTCATAGCCCTACAAGCGTCCCCCGCGGTCTGTCTACACCAGAGCCCTTTTCCTTTCCCTTCAGACCCCGGCCGCTTCATCTCTGTAGCCTTCCCTCTTTTGCTCCCCCTGCCCGCAACAAATCCTCCGCACACGGGGGGGGGTTGTGTTTTTAAATAAAGCGGGGGCAACCTCCCCTCTTGGCTGAATTCCTTACCAGAAAAGAGATGAGTGGGCTGCTGTAAGCTGTTTATGTTAAACAAAAAACTGCCTTCAAGAAGCATTGAAAGCGCGAATGGGGCTGACTGCAAAAAGCCTCGGCGGTTCTGTGAAGTTAGGTCAGAAAAGCTGCAAGAGCCCGGAATGTGTTCTGTTGAGCCGCCTGCAGGGTCAGAGCGCGCTTGCCGAGAGCAAAAGCCACGCGCCGCAACGTGGCTGTCCTCCTGGCCGAGACAGAGCCGGGCTCTTTCAGGACCCGCCCCAGAGGGTCGCCAAGATGGAGACCAGCTAAGCAAAACCATGCAGTGACAACTGTTTTATTACAGACCCCGAAGTAGCTAGTACGCATCAGGGACATCCCACCGGCGTGTAAAAACAAGCGCAGAACCATCTATGGAGTGCTGGCAGAGGCATGGGCAAATTGTCAGCGTGAATACCTCCAGCTGCCCTCCCTGCTGGACTCTGGGCAGCGCGCTCGAGTGGAAGAGCGCCCTTGGAATCCAGGCAACCGGGGACAGAGGGGTGTCCCTCTTGGCCTTGGAGGGCTAAAGGTGAGGATCCCTTCCTCTGGCGGCTGTGAAATGCTGCGCATGAAGCTGTCTGGGTGGTGAGGTCCCAGCCCGTCTCAGCTGGCCTCCCACCTCGCCATCGGGATAGGTTTGTGAGTGCTTTGGAGCGGTGATCAGTCTTGCATCAGACCAATCCCGCCCCCCCCCCTTGGGGGTCTGCAGGGCCTGTGGCCGCCTGGCTAGTTCATCGGTTCTGCCAGGCTCAAACCACCCATCTATGGGGCGACAACTGCAGGCAGCTTCGCGCTGTCTTGTTACCCTACACAATTCTGCAGGAGAAACGATCTTCCCAGCCCCCCTAATAATTCAGACACCGTCATTAGGGTTATTTGCAGATATTTACCTTTCCAAAAAGCGGAGGGCAGCAACAGAGAATCGACCTGCCAGCTTAAACCCCGCATCTCAAGGAAGGAAGGAAAGGCGCAGCGCAAGCAAATCGCCGG